ATTGAGAGTACCTGATACAGAAAATACTAACTTAATAATGCGAATTCACATTTACATTGAGGATCTATATGAAGTTTGTTTGTTTATTTCTAACTTAAGTGATGAAATGGAATTATAAGTAGCTTATATATAGGCTAATCAAGCTCAGGAATCGTGTGACAGACCTTTCTCATTTTACAGATGAGGGAGCTCAGCCCCGGAAGGTGACTCACTCAGAGCCACAGTGAGAGTCAGAGTGAACTGTGCTTCAGCGAAGCAGAGAGGCTTCTGTACCCAGCTTTCTCTTCTTGCCTCCGATGAACAAATCCATTTAAAGTTAACTTTCTTTATTAGCTATATGAATAAAAGACGAATAGTACAAATAGTGAGAGATATTTTTAAAAAGTAGATACTTATTCATTCACAAGGGTTCATTTTTGGATCTGACCATCCAGATTTGAGACTAACACTGTGTCATGTCATATCTTTTTGTCCATAAACTACATGACTAAACATTTTAATGCATAAATGAATATTAAGTGATCTCAAATGAGTCTGTATGAGAATAAATTTATTCATGAACTTATTAAAATCAATTCTGGAATACTTGCAGAACCAGTTTAACAAATCTGTATGCACTTAAGGGAATTTATTGTACATGTTTTAGAAAGAATAACTACACAATTGGGTGATCTCTTTAATGCACTGAAAACCGGGGCTTTCACTTCCAACACAGCACGAGCACTGCTGTGACAGGGTCGGTCTCCATCGGAGAGACTGTGTGTGTGTCTGTGTCTAAGTCATACTTCTCTATGTTTGGTGACAGGGGAAGAATGGCTGCACTGTTGAGTTGTGGATGCTGGTTTGTTGGCTAAATGCACACAGAGCCAAGTGACCTTCCCATTTTCCGACTAATTTTCTATCAATTTTACCTTGTTAGGCTGAATTTAAACTCTTGTTCATATTCCATGGCCCGCATGCCAGCTCAGGAAGTGGTTTGGGAAGTGCTGGTGGTGGGGAATGGTGAGGGGAAAGGTTACAGTGGATAAAAAGCTGCTCTTTGAGAATCTGCACTCAGATAAATGAGGTTTAAAATGTGTCGCTGGATTTTCTGTATTTTCCCATGTCCTAAATTAGAAAAAGTTTGAGTAGATTGCGTGAAATACGTGTCATAATTATATATTTCTGGCACAGATAAATCTATTTGGCTCTTATTGTATGTTGTTAAGGATAGTATAGATGTCCTTTCAAATTCTCTTTGATTATGAAACTAATTATAGACATTCTTTATTGTTTTTGGTTCATAACAGTTTTCATAGCCTAACTGATAATAATAGTTATCATAGGTAGGAAAGAAAAAAGCAATTACTTCTGTTGTTGTTAATCCTCACCTGAGGATATTTTTTCCATTGATTTTTAGAGAAAGTGGGAGGGAGAGAGGGAGGGAATGGGGAGGGGAGAGAGACAGAGAGAGAGAGAGAGAGAGAGGAGAGAGAGAAACATTGATGTTGAGAGAGACACATCGATTGGTTGCCTCCCGCTTGCGCCCCAACCAGGCCGAGGATGAACCTGCAACCCAGGTACATGCCCTTGACCGGGAATCAAACCCGGGACCTTTTGTGTGTGGGCTGACGCTCTAACACTGAGCAACACTGGCCAGGGCAGAAAAGCAATTACTTCCTATGGAAACCTTTAACATCAGAATTTGTCAGGCTTTTAAAAAGGTCTTCAATGAGTCATTTTTTAGCATATTCCCTGTCAAGATCTGGAGTGACAATAATACCTAATATTGCTAAATAAAATTATTTTGTTAATTTTTTCCATCATTACTTTTGATTTATTTATATATTTATTTTTGACTTTAGTTAACAGTTGGCCCGTGTGATTTTTATTTTATCCTCACCTGAGGAGATCTATATCTATATATATGGTATCCCCCCAAATGTATACATATATTAATATATTTATTGATTTTTAAGGAGAGAGGACAGGAGAGAGAGAGAGAGAGAGAGAGAGAGAAACATTGATGTGAGAGATAAACATTGATTGGTTGCCTCCTGTATGGGTGCTGACGGGATCGAACCTGCAATCTAGGTATACCATGGCTGGGAATGAACCCGAACCCGAAACCTTTTAGTGTATGGGATGATGCTCCAACCAACTGAGCCATCTGGCCAGGACCAAACTATGCTTTTTTATAGGCTTTTTTATAAGATTTGTTATAGGATATTTAAAAAGCTTATTCTTGAAAGAAGGAGAAGAGATTAGCCAAAGAACATATATATATGCATAGCCCATGGACACAGATAACAGTGTGGTGATGGCCAGAGGGAGGAGGGGTGGGGGCTGGGCGGAAATGGATAAAGGATTAGAAAATGGGGGACATCTGTAATAGTGTCAACAATTAAAAAAAAATATATATGTTTATTTCTAAAAAAAAACAACGTAATTTAATCTATTTATTAAAAGCATTGTAAGGTTTACATAGGACCTGCTCAAGCTCTTTTGTGATGGGAAATACTGTTCTAAAATCAGATAAAACTGCCCTACCTCTCTCTCCCTCTCCCTTCCTCTCTGAAATAAATAAAAAATATATTTAAAGAAACATCAATGATGAGAGAGAATCATCGATCGGCTGCCTCCTGCATACCTCCCACCGGGGATTGAGCCCATAACCTGACCGGGAATCAAACGGTGACCTCCTAGTTCATGGTTTGACACTCAACCACAGAACCATTCCAGCAGGGCTATCATTACATTTTTTGAAAAGATTTTATTTAGAGGCCTATGCAAATTCAATATTTCCAAATCTTGGAATTTTATCTTAACTTGCAATTTTATATAATAAAAACTTAATATGCAAATTGACCTAGCGGTGGAACGACTGTCGCTATGATGTGCACTGACCACCAGGGGGCAGACGCTCAACACAGGAGCTTCCCCCAGGCTGCAGGCCCTGACTGGTGGTGGTGGCGAGTGGGCAGCGCCAGGCCAGCCAAGGCTGGTGTCAGCGGGGGCCCCGCCAGTTGCCCCAGAGATCAGCCCTGATCACTGGCTAGGCCTAGGGATCCTACCTGTGCGTGAATTTCGTGCACCGGGCCTCTAGTTATATAATGTAAATAATATATAGTGAATGTTCTCACTAGGATGAGGCCTTATATATAGATATGTTTGTGTGTGTTTTCTGGACACTTGCCTAGAAGTAAGTCTTGCTTTTGGGCTTATTCCCTCTGTGCTTTGTTTTGTGTCTAGACCTGAGCTTACAATCTCTGCGACCACTCTTACACTTTCTGCAACATTGAAACACACAGCAAAGCCTTTTAGGTGGTGGATTTGGGAACTGGAGATGGGTTGGCTTCTGATGTTACAATGTTCTAAATGTATTCGCTTTGTGCGTATTTTATGACTGTGGTGGTGTCACAGCTTGGTCTTACGGAGAGCTAAGAAGAAATAATGATTGAAAAAGGATGACTCTCATACTTGTATCACAGGATAGAAAAAGTGGGAGGACAGTGTTTGGGGACAAAGATGAAGAGGGTGACTACACTTCCTGCTGTGTGTATTTCCTTTCCGTAGTAAATTCGTTGGAGAGAGGTAGACAGTGGAGGAGAGTTTGAAAGGAGAGCCTGACCATGAGTGTCTTGAATCATAGTAAATTTTGTCTTTTTAAAAATTTAGGTTGGGGGAAGACTGTATTCATTGAGATTGTTTATCAGCAGAAATAGATTGACTACATCAGGAAAAGGAAGATCGGAAGGTTGCTCACTTAGACTTCTAGGATGTAGTCATAAAACAGTCCTTTCTAACCATTGTCTTCTGATTGGCCAGACTCAGTCCTGTGCCTCTGGGGCATTGGTGTGAATGAGGGGAGACGAGAAAGAACAGTCTGGGCAGACAGAAGCAGTAGCCATTGCACCATGCGACGAAGGGTTGCTATTTGACGTACATTTACCTGGTCAAGCTCATACGTCTCTCTGTCCTTATGTACTGGGCGTTCAGTTTATTATAGGCCTGTTGGCTCTTCTGACTGCATTACTCTGTATTTCCTTGGCCATTCAGTCACAGTTTTACCTATAATAGATTACACTTCTTAATTTCAGGTTATGTTTGAAAATTGAGAACCTGATATTCTGTAAAGATGGTAATGTACATGACCACAGAGAACTGCTCTTAGCTAATTCAGGGGACACGTCTATATTTTTCATGCCAGCCCAGCCCAAGTGTAGCTTGGTGTGGACATAGCTATCCACAAGTGATTCATGAAGAAGCAGCACTTACCCCAGGATGAGGCCCATACTCGCAGTATTTGGTCAAGAAAGGTGACTTCATTTGCCTGATAGTAATGTAACCTTTTAAAAAATATATATATACCAGGTATATATTTTTATTGATTTCAGAGAGGAAGGGAAAGGGAGAGAGAGAGAGAAATATCATGATGAGAGAGAATCTTCGACCGGCTGCCTTCTGCATGCCCTCTACTGGGGATCGAGCTCACAACCCAGGCATATGCCCTTGACTGGAATCGAACCTGGGACCCTTCAGTCGGCAGGCTGATGATGCTCTATCCACTGAGCCAAACTGGCTAGGGCAGTAAACCTTTTTAAAATGGGAATCTAATAATCTCACCTGACCTCTCTGTTTATTCTTTTTAAAGAATTATTAGGGATCTGACTTGGAAATTAAGATATGTGGAATATTTGAAAGGGTTATAAGACTTGAAATCAGAAGACCTGATTTGATTCTCAATGGGTGTAACCTCGGGTAAATTGACTTTAAAATATACTTCATGTTTCTTACTAATGAAAAGGCCAGAATGGCACTTGCTCTGCTTATTTACCAGAGTGAGAAGGAAGTGTTTGCCTTGGCTAAGACTGTTCCTGAGCTTTAATTCTCTAATTTATAGAATGAGCTGTCCCTTTTGGATCCAAAGGTTTGGATATTATTGTTTGTTGTTTAAAAAACCGACAAGAATGTTTCCCCTTTGCAGAGCTCATCATATGAACGTTTTCCCTCCTAACCAGGCAGTTGCAGTGGTGCAGAATGGCCGACCTCAGTCTTGCAGACGCATTAACAGAACCACCTCCAGAAATCGAGGGAGAGATTAAACGGGACTTTATCGCCACCCTGGAGGCAGAGGCCTATGATGATGTCGTGGGAGAAACTGTTGGAAAGACAGACTACATTCCTCTCCTGGATGGGGATGAGAAGACTGGGAATTCGGAGTCAAAGAAGAAACCATGCCCAGATACTAGCCAGGTTGAAGGTAAGTAATTAAGCCAAACTGGGTATATAGGTGCGGAACGTAGATTAGGAATTACACTTTGGATTACAATCTTGGAAACCTTGAGGAAACGGAACTGAGTTGTTAAGTATAGGCCAGTAACTTTCCCTTAATCTAAACTTCTTTATTTGAAACCAAGGAGCTAGGTTCATACTCTTTAATAGGCTGTGTGTTCATTATACTGTAGATTACTTTTTAAAACTATATATGTTTTTATTGATTTCAGAGAGGAAGGGAGAGGGAAAGAGAAATAGAAACATCAATGATGAAAGAGAATTATTGATTGGCTGCCTCCTGCGGCCCCCCTACTGGGGATGGAGCCCACAACCCAGGCATGTGTCCTTGACCGGAATCGAACCCGGGGCCCTTCAGTCTGCAGGCCGACACTCTATCCACTGAGCCAAACTGGCCAGCGCTCTGTAGAATGTTTTAATCTAAGATAGTGGTTCTCAAAGTATGGTCCTTTGACCAGCAGGTCAGTATTACTTGGGAGCTTGTTCAGGTTGCAATTCTTAGGCCCACGGGGAACGTGAGACTCTGGGGATGGGGCTCCGCAGTCTGATCTTAACCAACTCCTGCTGGTGACTTGGATGCACGTCCCAGTGGAGAAGCTTGGCCCAAGAGAACGGGTTCGGTCGCGTCCGTCGTCGAGAGGATGACAGTCGGATGCTGCAGAATGTCTTCTTGTTCAGCCTTCCATTGCAGAGCATCACAACCAACTCTAGTTGGCCACCAGAGGGCGAGATTGGCACAAGAAGGTGCCCTTGTGTGGGGACCATGCTGAACCTCTCCCATTCTGCCCAAAGACGCATGGCTCTCTTCCTCGCAGCACACAGGACCTCTCAGCACGTGGCTGCTGCTCTTCTCTGCCAAACTGATTTGCCAGCTGTGGCACCCCGAAGTCTCTCGTGGAAAAAGAGATTTAAAAAACCAAGTAAATTCGAATATTCTTGCATCTCCGAGCATGCGATAAGTTAAAAACAACACTTGTGTTGTCAGTGCTGTATGTGTTTTGTTGAGAGAGTTTTCATTTCATGAAATGGGAGTCCCTCTGGGGAAATCCGTGAAAAAAGGCAATAGAGCATCTTTGCATTCGGACTTGCCAGTAATGCACAGCATCCCAGTGATGAGTCCAGCAATTCTCGTCCGCAGGGAAGCCTGCAAGCCTTTTTCTTCCACTAAAACCTAATGCTTTTATGTTGCAGGATTGTTTTTATTCTTCTCTCCCTGAGCTTAGAGTTTTAGATCATTAGATGTGTATATGGTAGAATCTCAGTCTCTTTTTTATTTTCAATTTTCTTGTAACCTTTGTTTTCCTGTTATTTCATTTTATTCTGATAAGTTGCTTGTATATTAGTCTCACAATTATGGCCTAGTCTAGTAATGTCATTTAAAGCTAGATTTTTATATAAGGCAAAAGTAAATTTCAGGGTTTTCACAAGGTGGCTTTATAATTTAGTGATCGAATCTATAGTTATCTATAGTTGGGCTATAGTTTAACCAATCTATAGTCAATCAATCTGCAGTTATTAACAATGAGAATAATAATAGTTGTTTACATTTACTTAACAATGGGCACAGTACTGCCTCCAGTATCATTGCACTTATTCCTCATGATAACCATGGGAGGGAGGGATTGTCCCATTTTCCAGTTGAGGCTATTAAGGCTTAGCAAGCACGGGGGATTTGCAATTGATCATTTAGTTAATAGTGACAGAATCATAACCTGTGCCCAGATGTTCTGATTTTAAACTTATATTCTTTCTGTGAAACCTTACTATCTTCATGCATACTTTCTGCTTGATTTAATGTCTCATAAAGATTCACTTATTATTAGCCATACAAATATTATGTCCAGGAAAGGTAAGAATCTCATTTTATTTACATAAAGAGCATGAACGCGAGGACTCTGCTGTGAATTCAAATGCATTTTTAGTCTTCCACTTCTCTGTTCAACTCCACATCGTCTCCTCTCTGTTCGAACCTCTAGGACTTCCGTACTTGCTCCCCTGTTCATGTTTTCGATTGACCTTGAGAAAAGAGACTCAGTAGTCTCAACCAGAAGAACACTTCAATACACCCCTGCCCCCCTCCTCTCCTGCCTGCCTTCATCTTGGCCTTTTACGCTGCTCTGCTCTTCTTGTTATAGGCGAACTGCTCGTACGCTAACTCAGGAGCACGACTCGGCAATGATCTCCCCTGTCTTCTGCATCACCAGCGCCTCTCTTTTAACTGAGTCGTTCACCAGCATTAAACAGAACATAATCTTTTCCTTCATTGAAAAAATGCTGTCTCAACCCCATGTTCATCTCATCAACTCACTTATCTTCTCTGGAAAAGCGATCTCCCAATCCCTTTCCTCTCATTCTCTTTCGAACCCTCTCCCATTTGACTTGCACTGATCCCGTGCCACCAGAACTGTTCCTCTTAGGGCACAAGACCGGTTTATTGTCAAGGATGACTCCAAGGGTTTGGGCCTGAGAAACTGAAAGGAAGGAATTTCATTAAAAAAGCAGCATGATATTTTTTTAAAAATTATGTTTTCATTGATTTTTTTAGAGAGAGAAGAAGGGAGAGGGATAGAGAGAGAAATGTCGATGAGATGAGAGAGAATCATCATCGTTCAGCTGCCTCCTGCATGCCCCCTACTGGGGATAGAGTGCCTCCCTGGCATGTGCCCTGACTGGGAAATCGAACCCATGACCTCTTGGTTCCTGGGTCAACGCTCAACTGCTGAGCCGTACCGGCTGGGCAGCATATTTTTGTAAAAATAATTTCTTTAAAATTTTTATTTGAAAATACATCTCTTAACTAATTTCTTTTGGCAAAAGAAAAAGAAATAGTACCAAGAGTTATAGTTCATAATAATGGTCCTCTAGTCTAAAAGAAAAGCAGAGCCCTGGCCAGTGTGGCGCAGTTGGTTGGAGTGTCATCTCATACACCGAAAGGTGGCGGGATCGATTCCCAGTCAGGACACATACCCAGGTTTTGGGTTCAATCCCTGGGCGTGTGCAGGAGGCAACCAATCAGTGTTTCTCACTGAAGGCGATGCTTTTCTGTCCCTCCATCTTTCTCTGTCTTTCTCTAAAAATCAATTAAAAAAAAAAGAAAGAAAGAAAAGCAAAGCAGATATTTCTTAAAAAGAGGTTAATTGGTCAGGCTCTTTCTGCAGCTGAGAAATTCTGAGTTGCACAGGGTAAAGATATCAAAGATAGAAACTACCTACCTGTAAACGACCATCCTAACCCAGCTATCTTCGATGTCTTCCCCACCCTTTTCCTTCACCTAAAAGCTTCTGCTCTGCTTCGGCACAGATTCCACCTGGGCTGGAGAACGTTTGTTTCTTACAAGCACGTTTCTGACTCTGGCAGTGGTGCAGACCTCTTTGTGCTGGCACGGTGCGAATCGCAGCAGTTCCCCCCCCCCCCCCCCCTTTTTGAACCTCTGGTGCTGAAAACAAAGAAATAGCATATGACTCGTGGTCTCTTGGTGTTAATCTTGTTTGAAATCTTGTTAATAGCTTTGTTCCCCTGATTATAAAAACAAATTTAACTGTTTGTGAAGAAAATCGAAAATTAAAGTATTTTAAAAGTATAATCTCTAATACTTTTGTTTCATTTTTAGAAATTTTAGGTTAACTTAGGTGTTCCTTGACTTGCATTCTCCCTCCTTATCTGCTATTCTGCCACCCATATACTGCTGGCAATCACACTTATTCCAGTTCATTCATTCTTTAAGCAAATGCTTATTGAGAACACTATATCGCTACAGAGGGGAAAAAAGGAACCCAAAACTAGAGACCTTAAGGAGTTTACAGTTCATTAGGGAAGATAATCAAGTGCCAAAAGCAAGGGCACACAAAGAATTGTGAGGTAACATCTGCTTGCAACACTAGGGGCAGAACAGCATCTTGTCTTCGGAAGGGAGGGAAGTATAGGACCCGAGGCTCAGTGCAGATGCTTCAGGTCTGTGCATGTGGGAGCCGGAAGCGAGGGAGGAAGTCTCTTCTGACAGGGTCATATTTTCTCTGAAATGGGGGAGGTCATATGCTGATGAGTGGATGGAAGGGGCTGGAGGTTTGAGGAGAATCCGGTGGTTTACAATAGACATTGTAAAGTGTGGAAGAATGAGTTTATAAGAAATGTTTGGCAAGTAATGGTTGGGAATGATGAATTCACAGTGTGTCAGTCTGCTTTTGTTTTGGAAACATAAACCAGCCATTTTTTTCTGGGTAGACTGGGTATGACTATGGGAATCTCTGTACCAACATTGCAGTTTTCCCATAAATTTAAAAATATTCAAAAATAAAATTTTTGTTTAAAATAAAATTCAGATAAGTGACTCCCATGTAATACTATTTATTTCTCAAGAGGAAGTAGATCTTACAAGATTATGTTTTTTTGTATTTACATATATAGTCAGAAAATTATTGGCCTTGGTTCTATACAAATGGGATCATTATTTATTGTATACATTATTTATTTTTCTTTTTAAAA